TGCCCGGGCGGGTCTCGACCCCGCGGGCTCAGGCCATCCACTCACCTCAGCCTCCCAAAAGCGCGGGATTGCAGGCTGAGCCACCGAGCCCGGCTCAGATATATATCTTCATCTTCAGCTCCCTTCCCCGGAATTCCAGAGTTATGTATTCAACTGGCTACTCCACTCTCCCTGTGAATATCTCATAGACATCTCAGATGAATGTGTCCGGAGCTAAGCTCCTCAGTTTGTTTCCCAACTGTTCATACAGTCTTCCCTGGCTCCACCTTTTCGGTCACTCAGACCAAACATCTTGATTCCTCTCATTCTCTCCTTCTCCACGTCTAATCCACCAGCAAACCCCGCAGGACTTGCCTTCAGAATATGCCTCACATCTGTGGCCGCTGTTCACCACCCCCAGGCCGCCAGCCTGGACTGAGCCACCCTCATCTCTCAGCTGAACCACAGCACTCCCTTCCTCACTGTCTCTCTGCCCCTGCGTGTGCCCTAAAGTCTATCCTTCACACGGGAGCTACTGTCTTCTTATCCTCTGTTTACCACCCTCCGGTGGCTCTCGACCTTCTCAAAGCCAAAGCCAAAACCCTTACGCCGACCTGACCCACCATTCCCCTTGGATATTACCCAGATGAGAGCCCTTACTGACAGCTCGCGCCAGCCACGTGGGCCTTCCTGGTGTCCCACGGGCACCCCGAACCCCAGTCTGCTTCAGGGCCTTGCACTTCACCTGCCTGGACCGGCAGAGAGCCGTTCTGCCCAGTGCCTCACACTTCGGGTCTCTGCGCAAAACGCACCTGACCAGTGAGGTTTTCCCTTACCTCCCTGATTAAAACCGCGCCCGCCCCTACATTCCCATCCGCTGGCCCCACTTGGTTTTTCTCTGCTGATTTATCATCTGCATCCAACCTATCTTTTTAACCTGTTTCCACCTTCTGGGAACCTTTGCCCTTTGGGGTGTTTTCTCTGTCCGCTCGAGGCCCGGAGTCGGATGAACGGATGGGTGAGCGGGTGGATGACGTCATCGCTGTCCCCCACCCGCGCATCGCCAGTCCCCCTCTGCTGCAGGATGGCCTTCAGGGATTTCAAGGCCCACTTTGACAGAGTGGAGATCTGCAACCTCACGCCCGACGCCCTGGAGGAGGACGCGCTCCACAAGTGGGAGGTGACGGTCCACCAAGGAAGCTGGGTCCGGGGCTCCACGGCCGGGGGCTGCCGCAACTTCCTGGGTGGGTGGTCTGCCTGTCGCTCTCTCTGCCGTTCCCACGCCTCCAGTTCAGCTGGGAGGCACCGAACGAGCAGTGTCGGGCCCCCCAGAAAGCCCAAAACAGGGGCCGAGACAGCAGGGTCTCCGAAATGACCGGGGAGAGAAGACTGTGGAAGACTTAGCAGGACATTGGATAAGAAGTACTCAGGGAAACACCCTTGTTTTACCACATCGGTTATTTTCCATTGTAAATCATGGAACGCACAACTCACACCAGCTTCGCAACAAAAAGGACTTACTGTCCTGCATAACTGAAAAGCTCAGAGGACAAGTAGGCAGGATTCGGGCAAGTTCTGTCAGGGCTCGGGCTCCATTTGGTTGTACTCCCTCTCTGCGCTCCTCCTTTGTGGATGTCTTCCTCTCTCTGGCTTCTCTATCATCACAGGAGGGTGCCAGAAACATCCGGGGCTTCCTGGTCCCTCATTCAGATGAATCACAGGAGCTCCTATGGGTCAACAAAGCCAAGTCCTCAACCACCCTCAAATTGGGAAGTCCTTGAGCCTGGTGATTGCTCTGGATTGACTGGCTTTGTTTCAATTTTCTGTGGCAAGAGGGACTGGCTGAGACCACTAGAGTTCACCCTTGGAGCTGGGACAAGGTCAATCCTACTCTAATCTTGCACCATTAAACGAACAGTAGGGGGACAACCACAAGTCCATACACTTTCCTTTGAAATACCAAATGGAGAATAAAAGTAGGATGGCACAAACCTTAGCAGATTAGACCCAGAAGAACGTCATTAAAAAGCTGCATGGAACATGGTTCAAAAGAAGGTGGAAACTCAAGAGAGGACACTGCATGGTCAAAGGGCAGGCGGGCTGACCGGAAGAGGGGAGAAGGGATTATTTTCTGGTGTTTGGGAGTCTGTAGTGGTGTGGATAGGTGTGTGTGTGTGTGTGTGCGTGTGTGTGTGTGTGTGTGTGTGTGTGTGCGCGCGCGCGCGCGCGCGCTTAAGGAAGGGGAAATAATCTGCCTCTCCCAAATGGCAGATACCTTTTGGACCAATCCACAAATAAAATTGTCCCTGACCGAGACAGACGAGGGGCAGAAAGAATGCACTTTCCTCGTAGCTCTGATGCAGAAAGATCGCAGGAAACTCAAGAGATTTGGCGCCGATGTCCTGACCATCGGCTATGCCATCTACCAGGTAGGGGGGGGCTACCCTGAATTCAGAGCCCTCCATCCGAGTTCTAGCTTCACAGCTCCTCCTCGGCTTCATGCCCAAGACTCAGTGGTCCGAACCCTGAGCTGTGTCCGACAAGCGTGACAAGCGGCCTCCCTAGAGGCCCTCCCCGCTCCTTCCATCGCAGTGTCCTGACAAAGACGAGCACCTCGACAGAGACTTCTTCCGGTACCACGCATCCCAGGCCAAGAGCAAGATGTTCATCAACCTGAGAGAAGTCTCCGACCGGTTCAAGCTGCCGCCTGGGGAATACATCCTGATTCCCAGCACTTTTGAGCCCCACCAGGAAGCTGATTTCTGTCTGAGAATCTTTTCGGAGAAGAAAGCCGTTGCCCGGTAAGTCAGAGGAACAGTTTCCAGAATCCCGCTTCACTGAGTGGTTTAGCCTCACAAACGTTACCAGGGGCCTGTCGGAGCCACGAGCCCTCTTTCCCTTTCCCGTGAAACACCGAGAAACAAGGCAGGGCACATTCCCCTTTCAGCTCCTCCCTCCCTCCAGCAAACCACAAACAAGTGGCTGTCTCTTACTGGACCCAGACTCATACTCACAGACGCTGTAGGGTGGAACCCTTTGTTGTTCAGACCCTATCTCCAAGAAGCTTCAGGGATAAGAGCCACAGGTGGGGATGCTCGGACTTATTTCTGTGCACCGTGACAGAGTAGCTATTGTACATTTCAAGAGTGACATGTTAGGCTCAGTGGCTCATGCCTGTAATCCCAGCACTTTGGGAGGCAGATGTGAGAGGATTGCCTGAGCCCATGGTTTCAAGACCAGCCTGAGGAACTTGGTGAGATCTCGCCTCTACAATAAATCAAAAAGTTAACCGGGGTGGGAGTGCACACCTGCGGTTCCAGCTACTTGGAAGGCTAAGGTGGAAAGGTTGCCTGAGCCCAGCAGGTGGAGGCTGCAGTAGCTGTGAGCATGCCCCTTCAGTCCAGTCCAGGCGACAGAGTGGCTCCAACTCACAAGAAAAAAAAAGAGTGACATGTTCTTTCAGCTTCAGTTTAAATAAACGTTGGCAAATATTCCTATCATTTTACTCACCCAAAATGCTGCCACCTCTCCCTTACGATGTCTTAGCAAAGTCATTTGGCATCAGTGACTTCTAGGAAAAGATTTTTCATGACTGCCCATTCACCGTTAGTTGCTCTGTGGCAGAGGGAAAGAAATGATTCAAGATAGAGAATCCATTTCTTTCCCTAATGACGATATCCTACAGATTGCCGAGCATGTCAAAAGTCACTAATTCTAAATATAAGCTAAATAAATCTTCAACAAGAGACCAACCAGTCCAAAGTTAACAAGAGAGGCAGCAGTGAATATCTTTAACTGGGTGGGGTGATTTGAATTGGTGGCACGCATTTGAGGAGACTGGCAATTACAAAGTCGGTTGGGTTTCCCAGACCATTTACAAAGGGTATGTTCTTTCTTTTGGCTCAGTGGAAGCGGCAAAGTCTTTAGTCTTTAAACACTCTGCTGGAGAATTTTTCTCCAGCCTTCTCCCAGATACTAGCACCAGTTGAGGGTGAATTCCTCAGTGTCTGTTCATACGAAACACCCCATATGATATCCATGCAGATGGGCATCTCTTATGGATGACATGAACAAAAGAAAGAGAGCCAGGCTATGCCAATCCTGTGATTCCTGCTCTCTGTTCTCATTGGTGGGGTGAAGTCAGAGTTCCAGGCATTTATCAAGTGGTTTATACATGGCAAAGCTAACTCCACACTGTAGCTTGCCCGGAACAAGTACTTTCATCTGCTGTGATACTCACAAACACTGCTGGGTGGAGCCCTTCACCGTTCAGACCCTATTTCCAAGAAGCTTCTGGGGTAAGGGCCACAGTTACGGACGCTAGGCTTATTTTTGGGCACCGTGACAGAGTGGCGATTGCACATTTCAAGAGTGACGCGAAATTCTTATGCTTGGTAACAAAAAATCCACAGTGAACTCTGTTCCCATTGGTTTACCTCCCAGAGAGCCTCCTGCCCAAACAAACCAAAGTTCTGAAAGAGTTATGGGGTGTGCACCCAGGAGATAAGAAGGAAAGGGAAGACCACCCAGGTTCAAGCTTGGTTTTGTCTATCTGTGTCCCCTTTGACTTTGTATTCGTTTTTCTTTGGGAGTACTCAGGCTTTTTGTTTTTTTGAATCGGGATCTCATTCTGTCACCTGGGCTGGAGGAGGGTGGCAGGATCACAGCTCGCCGCAGCCTCGATCTTCTGGCTCAGGCGATCTTTCAGCTGCCCGTGTAGCT